CCCCTCCCTCTCCTCTCCTCTCTGACTTCAGGTCCCTCTCCTCTCCTCTCCTCTCCTCCCTGACTTCAGGCCCCTCCCTCTCCTCTCCTCTCCTCTCTGACTTCAGGCCCCTCCCTCTCCTCTCCTCTCCTCTCTGACTTCAAGCCCCTCCCTCTCCTCCTTGACTTCAAGCCCCTCCCTCTCCTCTCCTCCCTGACGTCAGGCCCCTCCCTCCTCCCTGGCCTCAGGCTCCGCCCCCTCCTCCACAGAGTGTCAGTCTGTGGCTTCATCATGGCGTCTCTCAGCCTCCTGCTGCTCAGTGCAGCTCTGATTCATGCAGCTCAGGTAGGATGAGTCTCTTCTTGTTTCACAGTAAACTGTTGTTGATGCTGTGTTGTCATGGTAACCTGAGACTGATGCTGTCATCTTCAACAGTCAACATGGTTACATCATGCTACTGTGTGTGTGTGTGTGGGGGGGGGGGGTTCATTTATCACACTGACCAGATTTAAAATGACTCAGGTCCGTCTGAAGGTCTGAGGATCTGGATCTGGGTTTGGACCAGAACCAGAACAGATCCATCCTGATAAACAGCATAAATGTGTGTGTGTGTGTGTGTGTGTGTTTGTGCGCGCGCACTTACAAGAACATTTCATTTCATCTGCTGTCACCATGGGGACAGGAGATGGTTACTATGGCAACAAAGAGCCACATCACAGAGGATACTGCAGGTCTCCTGACACAAACTGTGTGTGTGTGTGTGTGTGTGTGTGTGTGTGTGTGTGTGTGTGTGTGTGTGGACTGATAACAGGATAATTATTAACTCTGTTTCCTCTGAAAGGAAATTTGTTTTGGACTCAGAGCAGCGATGATTTCCTGTTCAAACCAYAGAAGAACCAGAAATAAACGAACCTGTTGTAGAAATATTTATTTATCAAACACAGAAATACTTGGTCCAATAATGAAGTATACTCTGTGGGATGATTTTATTACAACAACATCAGACTGAGCCCTGCTCTATATATACAGTTTAACAAACATTATTACATCATCTTCATAAAAGAAGATCTGATCCTGGGTCAGTGGAAAACACAAAGATAAACACAAGTGATATCTAAGAATGACTGTTAGCAGATCTTGTTGTGGTTATACTGTCTGATGAACACAGTGTCATTAAAGTGTTATTTCTGTTACACTCCACATACCTGACCCTYAYACTGACCCCAGGTGTTGGTCCACATCAGGAGCACTGAGGTCCCACAATGCTGTGCTTTTCTGGGAAATGTCTGCAGGATTTAGCCAAAGTGTGTCTACACACCCCTACACACACTTACACACACATTTCTCTACAATAATACATAATGTTGACCTAAAATATCTATTCATATTATATGTAACACTTATAAAATATAAAAGTCTTAATGAGAACAACAGGAACATTTGAATAAAACACACAGTTATTTATCATCTTAAGGAAATGGTTCATCATGCTCAGTATTTAACTGTAACTAAATTATTTATCACATACAACAGTTACAGCCTGTCTGTTGCTCTAAACTTTTTAAATTTTCTTAAATACATTTAATAAAACCAGCTTTTTAAACTAGATTAAAGTTAATTGTAGGAGGATGAGCAGCGAACTGAAATGACCTTTTCCCTCCGGACTTCCTGTTCAGACAACAAGCAGTAGTCCTGGGAACAAAGTGATGACACCAGTACAGACCTGTTTACACCAGTCAGCACCACAGAGWGACAGGACTCCTCTTCAGTCCAGCTGCAGTACAGGACAGAAACCTGGGACTGTTTTTATCTCATCTACAGTCTCCCTGAGGAGACTGACAGGAAGACAGACCGGAGCCCAGCAGAGGATCCTCTCAGGGTTACTATAGTTCACTAAAACTAATAAACATTCAAAACTGAAATTGATAAAACATTTTAGTTTACTAAAATAATTAAAAACTGTAATAAAATTTAAAAACGGTAACAAAAACTGTATAACTTTTTTAGAAAGCTAACTAAAACTATTTGAAATTATAGATAAATATACTTAGTTTTAGTG